GTTACCGGTGCGTACGTTACACGTGCGTACGTTACCGGTGCGTACGTTAAGGGATTACCTTTTTTTAAGTCTCAACCTACAAATGTAAGCTTGTATCCTCATCGCTTCGCACAATTAAGAAAACCATGAAGCCAAGTGTTATTAGATGGAGCGCCACCCTTCTTTTAGACGCCACACATAAAAGGTATTTTGGAAGACGTAAAACCCGTTGCAGAATGAAGGATGTCCGTCCTTTTGGCCTCTTAAAAATCATATGAAAATAGATGGTAGTCGGCCTATTAATTGTAACGTTCATAGATGCTAGCAACATTAAAGCTTTCCGTTGGAAGTCAGCAGTTTAATGTTGATTTCAAGATGGCGGTCAATTCGTGTACTACGTCGAACTGTGACAATCAGAGAGCTGACAAGCTCAAAATATATCAGGATATGTACATCTAAACGATTCACCATGTTCATAAAGTATTTTATTTGACTAATAAACGATTTTTAGGGTACTCCATTCAGGTACTCCATTGGGTACTCCATGGAGTAGGGCTCCGCGTTTTGTCATCTCCCGATGAAAAGCTACACAAACACGAGTCCAAAGTAATGTGTCTTATTTTTTTCTCAGTTCGTGAGCGGGCGGTATTCTACAAATCCTGCAATCTGATTGGTTCCGAGAGCGGGCAGTATTCTCCCCATCCGGCCCGCTCACGGCGGGCGGTACCTGTTTCGCTCGAGTCACTTTGCAAAACATCTCAAGCTCCGTTGCAGGTTCTCACTAATATATCACATTCTGCCGGCCGGGCAGAATGTTTGAGCAAAGACTTCGGTCACGACTTTGGGGGATAAATAATATTCATTCTTTCTTCTCTCTCGCTCTCAAATCACAATGGTTTTTCTGCAAAAATTGGTTTCGAAATAAATTTGGTGGTACTAAATTTGGTTTTAAAACGATTGAAACGCGGCCTAAAAACAATTTTTTATTTAATAATCCTTCACGAAAAGTAACTCAGACCTCGGGCACAGTTTTTCCCAATACGGACCTCTCGGCTGGTAACTAACAAATATATACGAGAAACAAAATTCATCGAAATAAACAGGCTATTGATCTTCTTCGAAGCCGTGGTTTGCCACATGTTTTTCGAGGGAAAGCGTTGCATAACGGTCT